ACATACGTTTATGGAGAAAGAATAAAAATGGCTCTGAAGATGATAACCTTCGCAAGAGAATAAAGAGGCCGAAGATAATTTTGAACAGAACGGAGATAATATTGTAAATGAAATTTTGCTTAATGACAATTTCGATATTGATTCTATAATAGAAAGGGGTAATGATGATGATGATGATGAAAATTAAAATTTCAATAAATTCTTAACTTGATATCATCTTTTCATCAAAATTAGTCTTTTTATATATGTTTTATTTTTACGCCAAATAAAAAACGCGGTTACTGATAAACATAAATTTATTGACAAAAAATGTTACAATTGTTATTGTTGGATTTAAAATGCAAATTGGGATATCTTTCTTATTTTAGAACAACAATTACATATTTACGAAAAAATATTTTTGTTTAAACATATCTATAATACGCAGCCCCACTATCACCTGTAATTTACAGTAAAAAATGCGTATTATTTTCGAGAAATTACGATAGTTCAGGCACTAAAACTGATTCTTTAACAAATAAGCATACTATCATGAAAAATGGCTAAAGCTTTAAAAAAAAAACAAAGTTTTATTGCCAAAATTTGTATGTTATTATTAATAAAAATGAACAAAGGATGTTTTTATTATTATTAAATTATATTTTTAAGGCTTTTTAGAACATTCAAAATTTTAGTTAAACATCTTTTTATTTCTTCTGAGGGAGTAAAGCAGGGTCAAAGTTTAGTGTAGGAATTTTTTTAATCATTTTTCGGTGAAAAATTCATTTTGATTTTCCTTTTAAAAAAATCAAAGAATTTATTTACAGATAGATGAAATTATTTTGGAAATGATACGTTTTTTAGAAAATCTTGATATAGACTTATTGTTTGTACATTTGTGATATAAACTTATATAACTTTATGAAATTTCGAGAAATTCAATGTTGAACCGCTTATTGTTTATATTAGTTATAAGCACAAGTCCTTGGAGGATTTAAATCACTATTTTTTTTTATTTTTGAAAAACAGTTACTGAATATCTGCTCTGAATCGTAAAGTTAAAAATGCAATAAAACTAAGAAATTTAATAAGAAATTTTCTAATTCCTTTTATGTTTAAGATATTTTATCGACGCTACTTCATTAAGAAAAAAATCAATGAATACTAAATTTTACAATAAATGTTTTAATTTTTAAAAATTTTAATAAGAATAATTTATATATTTTTAAATCTGTTAAAATTGTGCATTAATTTATATCGATTATTTGGTATTGTTATTCAGTAAAAACTATATTTACTTATCATGAATCGAAAAGCTTACTACAATTCAGTGAACTCCAGCATTTTAAAAAGATTATTGAATTTATTTTCTTTTGTGTGTGTGTGTACATAATAAATTCGGACGTCCATACAAGATATCATAAAATAAGAGCGTTAACGATAGTAAATTTAGAGCCAAAGTACCTAAACTTCAATAAAACATGAGAGTACGGATAATATTTACCTAATTTTTTAAGTTTACTGGGTAGATAAAAATTATATTAAAAAGTGGTCACGGTATATTCCTCAAGTATTTTTTTTTTTTACAGATATGTCCCCCGTTAAAAAAAACAAACAAAACAATAGATAAGATTACCTAATCAAAATACCGACGTATGTGTTAAAAATGCATTTCTGTGTGCCTTAAAGTAAACGTAGATAACACTTGATGCATATCAGAATAATTGAAGTTTACACGCCCATTAATACTGAAAGGAACATTAATAATGACGGGACAGGAGAGAAGTATTTTCCTGAAACAATGTTTTAAGAGAAATATTTTATGAATTTCAACCGATAGCAGTACTAACTGCTTAATCAATAAATATTGAATGTTACCTTATAAGGAAACAGTTAATATTACCATTACCATTAGTAACATTTTTAGTGTAATTTAGGTTTTGTCTTTTATCTTACTTACTTTTTTCTGATTGGATTTTAAGAGAAAGATTTTATGAATTTCAACCAATAGTACTGGTTGCTTGATCAATGAATGTTAAATGTTTCCTTATAAGGAAACAGTTAATATTATCATTACCATTAGTAACTCTTTTAGTTTAATTTACGTTTTGACTTTCATCTTTCTTTCTTTATTTTTTTTTTGATTGGTTTTTAAGAGAAAGATTTTATGAATTTAAACCAATAGTACTGGTTGCTTGATCAAGGAATGTTGAATGTTTCCTTATAAGGTAACAGTAAATATTACCATTACCATTAGTAACACTTTAGGCTTAATTTACGTTTTGTCTTTTATCTTACTTTCTTTTTTCTGATTGGGTTTTAAGAGAAAGATTTTATGAATTTCTACCGACAGTAGTACTGACTGCTTAATCAATGAATGTTGAATATTTCCTCATAAGGAAACAGTTCATATTACCATTATCATTATTTTTGTTTGTTCTATAAAAAACAAATGCGAATGTCAGTGTGTCACACTTTTTCAACTTTACTCCGAGACGCCGTAGCCCAACATATCATACCATTTTCGAATAAGGCGGACTCCATGAGCAAATTATAAACGTTTCGAGCCGGATCCAGAGCCTTGATCCTGAAACTTTGGATTCCTAAGTTTTCATTACTGCGGTTGTTTTCGGCGAGTTTTATGTGATTTTTGCGACGAAATTTTTTGTACGATAACAATTCTTGTAATTTAGAGATAAATTTGAGAATAATTGAAATTAATTGTGAAATCCAGCAAAAGTCGTCCATGAAATAAAATAATTGTTTTTACGGAAAGTAAGGATCTACGTGCATCAAACTGTCTTTAAATTAAGTGTCCGCAGAAGAATTATCGTTGTAGTTTTAAATGATAAGCTTAAATATTAATGTAATATTTAAATGCAGCGATCAATTTTGAGTTCTTCTGTAGTTTATTGTTGCCTATTGCAATACGGTAGCAGTATGCCTCGCAAAAATCTCCACCAAGAGAGGACCAGATTGTAATCAAAACAGCGAAGACAGCGGCGAGGAAAAGAAAGTCCCGTGCAAATGATTACCCAGACCAAACAGCGCCCTGAAGAGCTTCAACTGCTAAGAATATGCAATTATTAGGGACGCTCAAACTCCTGAACAAGCCGAAGGCGCAATAAAGAGCATTTCGCAGGAGCTAGCTTAAATGCCGCCCGATATGGCAGCTTTTAAGTATTTTTTTTTTTAGAAAGCGCTCCATCCCTGATATAGGAATTTAAAGCATATCTTCCTGGCACCAACTTAAGCTGACGTCATTTTTTCTCATACAGCCAATCTATAATTATAAACTGTGTCTGTGGGTTTTGGAAAAAGACCAATCTTCTTTGAATATTGTGGACTGGCGCTACATAATCACAAACAAGAAACTGTAGCAAATACCAGAAACGACCTCACTTAAAGACTTCCAACAACGGCAACAACTGAAATGGATAACACCTATGCCTCAAAGAATAGATAATGACATATTCAAGATGTTGATGCTTCACATTACTTCAAACAAAAGGTCAGGAAGGAAACCTCCATCAATACTGGAAAGAGCGATAACAGCTACTGGACTTGAGAGACCTATTTTTCGGAAAGATTGTTTTATGAAAAATTTCAACCGACCATACTTGTGGCTGCTCGGTTAATGAATACCGAATATTTCCTTATAAGAAAACGGCTAATGTTATTAGCATTTGAAATGAGGAGAACAGATACTACACTTTGAACCAAGCCTGATGACTAAAGAGTGAAAAAAAAACGTAATTAGATTAGTACTGTCCGTTTGGTCAATGAATGCCAAATGTTTCCTTATAAGGAAACGGCTAATATTACTATTAGCATTAGAGATGAGGAGAACATATACTACACATTGATCTTAGCCCGATGACAAAAGAATGAAAAAAAGCATAACTAGATTACCACTGTCCGTTTGGTCAATGAATGTCAAATATTTCCTTATAAGGAAACGGCTAATATAACCATTAGCATTATAGATGACGAGAACAGATAATACACATTGATCCCAGCCCGATGACTAAAGAGTGAAAAAAGGCATAACTAGATTAGCACTGTCCGTTTGGTCAATGATGGCCGAATGTTTCCTTATAAGAAAACGGCTAATATAACCATTAGCCATGAGGAGAACAGATACTACATTTTGATCCCCCCCCAAAGCGGAACTAGTTTAATACTGTCTGTTCAGTCAATGGTGGTCGAATGTTTCCTTATAAGAAAACAGCTAATATAACCATTAGCTTTAACGCTGAGAAGAGATACTACACTTTGAACCCAGCCGATGAACAAAGAATTAAAAAAAAAGCAGAAATAGATTATCACTGTTGGGTCAATGAATGCCGAATGTTTATTTATAAGAAAACAGCTAATATTACCATTAGCATAAGAGATGAGGAGAACAGATACTCCACTTTGATCCAAGTCCGTTGACGAAAGAGTGAAAGAAAAAGCGTAACTAGATTAGCACTGTCAGCTCTGTCAAAGAATGTCGAATGTTTCCTTATAAAGAAGCGGCTAATTCTACCATTGACCTTACTATTACAACCCATTTATATGTGCGCATTTTCAGTATAGACTTTAAAATACAAAGCAATTTATGCAAATTTCAGCGAAAGTTAGAGTTTTTAAAGTTGTTATTATAATTTAAGTTATTATGATAAAATCACGTAGTGACAATGGAATTATTGAACATATCTTTGCAGAAGCGAAAGCAAATTAAAATAAATAAATAAATAAATAAATAATAATAATAATAATAATAATAATAAAAAAAAAGAAATGAAACCATCACTTTCTTTCTTTGGGTGTTAAAAGTGTTCTCCGTTAAAGACATTTTAGTCCTGCAGGAATACAGAAGAATCGGATAGAGAAATTACGGAGACTGCTTGTGGAAGACGCCGGAATAAAAGCAGGAACAAAAGGGGAGAGGAGGTAATTGCCTTGTGGGCAAAACGTTCTTACCTCCCCTTTTTTATTTTTGTCTTCCGGAAGTAATAATTTTGGTACGACTGCGCATGTCCGTATGTGAACCCTTGACCGTGTCTTCAGTTGGCGTGTGGCTTCAGGGTGAATGAGTCAGAGAAAATGATGCAGACGTTTTTCTTCAAATCTTATCTTTCGCTTTGTTTTCATTGCAATAATGGCGGCCGATTTGAAAGGCAGGACATTTTTTTGAGTGACATTTACACTAGTAAAACAGAAATATCGACTCGGCGGCAATGTCTACGTCTGTAAATTCACAATAGGGACAAATAGATTTTGGCACATTATCTATCTATCTATGTCTATCTGTCTGTCTGTCTGTCTCTCTCTCTCTCTCTCTATATATATATATATATATATATATATAGTGGCGAAGATTTGTGAAAAAACAACCACATGTTTTGGAAGGGACGAATACAAAGTGCTGTAGCACAGTATGTCAAAATGTCTCCAAACGACCGTCCGCAGGTGTTGAATTCAGAGTTGTCCTTCTCCTAGAGCGGTTGCCAACTCAGTCTGAGTCTTTTGATATCTATCTATCTATCTATCTATCTATCTATCTATGTCTGTCTGTCTCTCTACCTATACACACACACACACACACACACACCCACACATATACATATGTAGCCTCTGAGTGTTGAATTCAGTGTTCACTTTTATATTTACATACACTCTATCTCTAATATTGAGCACTTTTATCTCATATCTATCTATCTATCTATCTATCTATCTATATATATATATATATATATATATATATATATATATTTATATATATATATAGTTTTAAGAGTGCTAACTTGATGGGATAAAGTGCTCAATATTAATGTATGGAGACATAAAAGTAAACATTGAAGTCAACACTCATAGGCGACAGACTGTTTCATGCCAGACGAAATCGTCGCCCTTACGATTGCGTCTGTCATGATACAGCTTGTCACCTCTGAGTGTTGACATCAATGCTCACTTTATATATATATATATATATATATATATATATATATATATATATATATATGACGCATCTCAGTTCTTAGAACTAAGCAAACAGACTACCCGCAAATGTTATTTGTTTATAGTGGCACAGAACCAACCACACTTTGTGGAAGAACCAAATAGAGAAAACCAGTGCACAGTATGCTACAAGGTTCGCAACTGTATAGAGACAAACACTCCGCAGACCAGCTGATATATATATATATATATATATATATATATATATATATATATATATAGTTCCATCCAGAAGTACTGGGATGGCAAGGACAGTTCCTTCGTTTTATTCCCTGAAGACATTTGCGTTTAAAATCAAATGATGAATGCGCGAAGAAAGTTCAGAATATCTGGTTTTATTTCCTGATAATTACAATTAGACATGTTAAACAACATTGGGCATACCACCTTTTGTTTGAACCCACTCATTTTTCAAGTGAGCAAAACTGTTGGAACACGTGACTGACAGGTCTTTCATGTTGCCCAGGTGTTGCATTTTAGATTGATTCTTTAAACAGTATATTGCTCTGAATGACTACTCTTGGTTTTGGCCTTGGGTTTCACCTGTATCGACTGCATTTCTTGTCAAAACCGGTAAACCAACATGAAGAAGAGAGTGCTGTCTATGGGAGAAAAGCAAGCCATTTTGAAGCTGAGATAAGAAGGAAAATTGATCATAGCCATTGGACAAAATTTGGGCATAGCTAAAACAACAATTTAGAATCTCCTAAAAAGAAAATAATGGCGTAATGAGCAACAGACACAGAACAGATCGACCAAGGAAAACGACAACTGTTATGGCAGGAATATTGAGAGAATTGTGAAGGTTTTCACAGGGGTGAAGGTTTCACAATCTACAGTTCTAAGAAGGCTCCGAATATAGAAATATAAAGACTATACCACAAGATGCAAACCGCTCATCAGCCGTAAGAATGAGAAGGCAAGATTCGAATTTTTAAGTAAGTAAGAGATCTGAGACAAGAAGTCGTGAAGAAAGTTATATAGACTGATGAAACCAAGGTTAATCTCTACCAAAGTGATGGAAAGGCCAATGTGTAGAGAGAAAAAAAAAACAGGTTCTGTTTATCATTCAAATCATACAAGCTCATCTGTGAAACATAGAGGAGGCATTGTCTTTGTTTAGGCTTGAATGGATGCTTCTGTAACAGGCTAATTCCTATTTATTGAAGATGTAAAACGGTGGTCAGGGCTCAAATGGTTAATGACTTACAACCATATCACATTGAAACACCGAAGTTAAACGTGATCAGTACTCATATAGGTGATCGTTAAGAAGTATGAGCAACGTCGAGCCTGGTCAGTACCTAGATGGCTCTAAGCTTGGGTGTGCGAATGGTGTAATGGATAATGACTCGAAATTTATGTTAGGAGAGTCGAGTTCAAATTCCAGCTGTATTTATTGATGATACTTTTACTATAAAAATGTATTCTTATACTTTTATAGTATTTTGTTTTGGGGGATGACTATTTGCCCATAGCTGGGACCCTAACAGTTGCTACCACCCCGGGTCATTGTAGACCTGGGAACTGTAGCAATTAAGATGTCGTTCCACGCTCCTCAGAACCTCCCGATCAGAGGGCATCCTGCCGGATGTAGTCAATTGTCATGCCCAGGACTATTCAGCTTAAGAAAAGGAAACTTTTAGGAACCTGCCTCAACATTTTCTTGAGACATTTGTCTTAGAAACATTTCAAAAGGCTCAAGAATACATTTTCGTTTTCGTCTTCATTGAAGAAATTCTTGTGAGAGACATAGCAATGATCTCTTGTATTTGCCAATTCCATGTTAACTTCTGCTATTCTGCTAGATTAATTTTCGAATGCATAATATATGAAATTCTTTGGCGCAAAAAAGAAATAAAAATAAACATTGGTTAGTTATTTCCCGTGTACTTATTTTTTGTGAAATAGGACTTTACTTATTTGTCGAAATTTTTGAGTCGGTAAATGATCATTATCAGATCAGGTTAAGCTTAGTTTTGCTACTGGTAACATGTAACCCAGTACAAGATGCCGTACTGGTGAGAAGGGTAGCATGTCACCCAGTAGGACGAAAAACAAGATCTGTCAAAGAGAAAATGAGCTTCATATAGGGGTCAATGGCCAACACACACACACACACACACACACACACACATATATATATATTATAAAATTGGTATTATAATAAATTACAATGAAAACATTTTACATCGCTATACAAAAACTTTCATGTTTCAGTACTAAGATTGTACTTCTTCAGGCGATGTTAGATAACTTGCGATAAAAATGATTTATTAAGGAAATTTAAAAACAAAAACGTTGCCTCGTTTCGGAAGTTAAAGGAGCGGGCATAAGAACAGAATTAAAAAAATATACTTATGGAATTCTGACTTTTCGTTCTGACCTAATGCCCCCACCGCCACTTTTAGCTTCCGAAAAGAGGCAACGTTTTGTTTTTTAAATTTCCCTAATAAATCATTTTTATCACAAGTTATCTACCATCGCCTGAGAAAGTACAATCTTAGTACTGAAACATGAAAGTTTTTGTATAGCGATGTAAAATGTTTTTATTCTATTTTATTACAACAAAAATATTATAATAATATTTTGTTCTACTTTGTATTGAGCATTTTTTTAAAATATAAATCCTACCATCTGTGGAATTTTACACCATCTGTTCTTTATATTATAGTGGGTTACCAATCTCTATTGGTTATAAATACAAATAAAACTTACCAGTATTACTTATTATTTTTACTATTATCAAATGTAACAAAGACAACAACAAGAGAAATAATCAAGTAGAAGAAATTGTTCAACAATAAATATTTTTATAAACATAACAAATATATAATATATTGTGCTGAGGTTGTAAAAACATTTTGGAGTTCTTTGGTGTGTGATACTGAAAGAATTTAAGTTGCAGAACAGATTGTAGAAAAATGAGAAGGTGTACTTAAGTATATTTGTTGTGGGAATATTAAACAGTTATTTTTTTTGTATTAAATAGAAAAAAAAAAGAGTATTGATCTTGACTCACTGATTTTTACAGAGTTGTCGCACTTTTACCGGAGATGCTTATTGTGGAATAGAATATTTTGTGGGAGTGAGCGTTCTTTTTTGCAAGCTGTATTTATGTTAATTCTAGTAATTAAAGTTAAGCCTGAAATTGGTTGACCAGGTTCGTTTGCGTGTTGAAGAATTTGGTTAGTCTCCTTGGTTGTTGAGTCGATCTCCAATGAAGTCAAGTGAACAAATTGAATATTTTAAGAGCCCAACTCACCAAGTCGCGTTGAAGTTTCGTTTTCATTAGTCCTCTTGGTCACGTGGGTGTATCGTGAAAATGTTTACATTTTGTAGCGTCAACTAGCGGTCAAAATTTGGGTCGGTACATTCGGACGTAGTTGACGACACCTAATTAATATTTTTCAACCAATCAGAATGCATCAGTTGTTATACTTGGTTGGGAGACTCTATGTGTTTTAACTTGCACAAGATTTGAGATTTTAAAAAAATGTAGGAATCTGATTCTATATATATATATATATATATATATATATTAGGCGTGGATGGCGTCTCAAGACTTGGATGTCAACCTACATATAGTTGGTGTCTCGATAAAAATATTCGGTGGATTTGAACAACTACAGTGAGAGTCTGAGATGGGCGCCAGGAACAATATCTGGCCTTGTAAATCCTCGTCTCAAACCATTATGACAAATCTTTTGTCAAACAAGATTCACTTTGCTTTGTGTGAGTTTATTCCCGATCCTGCCTCAACAAAAAACACGACTATGTATGTATATATGTATATGTCTTGCTCTTCGGATCAGCAGGGCAATCTTGTATTCGTCACTGGATTCTTATAGTCTATCGGCAATTCGTCAGTAGGGACTTCAAAGTTTAATCAACAGCCTACATCAACGAGGGACAAATTTCTTCTGCTTTCTTTCTCGTTATTTTTTATTTAAAATGATGTCTATCTTGCACGATTTAATAAGAGCCACTTGAGATAGAGGGTTACAGTTTATTTGAGGAAGATAACGGTTAACCCTAGACATGAACAGGTTAAGATTGTATTCGTTGAGAAAGCATCTCCTTGGGAGACTGTTCCACACAACAATGGTACGGTGGGAGAATCTGCTTGGGTGGAAATTACATCCCAGCAATGGATTCCGAAAGGAATAACGGTGGTTTATTACAATGTTACTTTTTTTTTCCTCAGTGTTCATATACACACCATTATTTGTTTAAAGATTTCATTTTCGTGTGCTAACGAGCCTCACCCATCTGCTTAGCAAAATGGAATCTTTGACATCTTGGCCTCCGGTTTTATGTTTAAAACACGGAGATCTCTCCCGTAGGAAACTGAGTGTAAAAGCCGGGGTTGGGGGGAAGAAGAATGGAAGTTATTAACTTGAAAAAAGAAGAAGAAAACGAACGAGTGACATTTTTAGATATTCATCTCAAAAGGCAAGTAAAAAAATCTTCGTTTTGCGTCCATAGTTAATGGCGTGTCAGTCGTCTCTTGCGTTTAATTTTTTTTTTTTACTATTTTTCCCGCTTTTAGCAA